ATCTCACAGACATGGCTCAACACCTGTACAAGAGGCATACTTTTAATCTGCGACTTTCCAACTTTAAAAACCCAGCCTATTTGGCAGGTGGCTGTAAGGATATTGCCCTAACTGTAGCTGAACCCCTTCTGTTCAGCTACCACCCAAGCCAGGAGAAAACAGAGTCCCAACTCCTATTCACTTTCCCAAATCCTTGTACACACCATCTTACAGGATTTACTTCCTTTGCTCTCTGTCTCTATTCCCCAATGACCACAGAAATTCAGATCCACCGTTAAACTGCCCCATCATTGATTATTCAAACAACCAAGCACACGTCACTTCTGCCCCCCAGCTCCTAGTGCTTGTAGCCTCCAACAAAGACACTGATGTGCTTGGGGATGGTTTTGATCAGTACCTGTCCTGGCAGGAAGACTTTCTTGTAGTGAAGAAAAAAAGGGAGAGAGAAAGGGGAGGGAGTGGGGAAAGACAGCGAGAGAGAAAGAAAGAGGAAGAAAGAATTTGGGATGTGTGCTGGCAAAAGAGCTATAAGGGAAGAGTTGTCCTTATTTTCCCATGAAAATTATAATTTTTCTCTAATCTTCTGACCTCAAAACTTTGGGCCAAGCTCCCACCACAGCTAGCGAGGGGAATGCTGCTCTTGGTGCACTCAGCATTAGCCTTGTTTTGTGTTTTGGGTTTTTGTTGCTTTCAAATGCTCCTCTTGGAGGGAATTAAAAGGTGGGGCTGGGGCCACACCTGCTTCCTGGCAGGCTGCAGCACTTTTCTGCCATACGGCCGACAAACACAGCAGCCCTCGCATAGCAGTTAAGCCCTGGGAGCACCCCACAGAGGAACCCCCCAGGCCATGCCCCAGCCGCTTACCCCAGCCAGCCTGAGTAGCCATGCCCTGCACCGATCCCCCCAAATCACCCATCTCCATGGCCTCCCCACGCACACACTTTGAACCTCAGTGCTGTGTTTGTTCCTTCATTTCAAACCAACAGATTTGGGCATGTCTTTGACAGAGGATCACAATTTGGATGTTAAATTTAGATGCACGCTTAGGCTCTGATTAGAGATACACAGAGTGTTTACTCGCTCTGTGGGGAGTTTGCATCTACAGGGCTGAGGGTGAAGCCCCTCAAGGCTCTCTGATCTTAGCGCAGTGATTAGGAGAGGAGGCTGAATCACCACATAACGATGCCCTGGTATTTCCCTCAGTCGGAAGCATGCCTTACCTTCCTCACTCCATTCCACTGATGGGCTTTCTCAAACACATCCACCTCCCCATGTGCAACCAGCTCCAGAAGGGCATCTGTGCCCAGGGGAGCCGCGAGAGAAGGAGAGAGCTTTCAGGAGTAGAAATGATCCCATGAGGTGAGGGACCAGAGGCAGGTGATGGTCTTTAAATGTTTAATGCTTGCAGTTGATCTGACAGCCCTGAAGTAGGTATGGCCCTTGCCACAGGTCCCATGAATCATGCACTAATGACTGTCAGCACAAGGACATGGCGTAGCACAGTTCAGAAAAACAGGGAAAATATTTCTCCTAATTCACATGAAAAATCTGTCACAGGTGCAGTTGATTTCACCTAGTTTCAACGTGGAGATCCTTGAACTCCGTTATAAGGACCCTTGAGCTTGGCAGCGCTGCCCCTCCTTGGCAGCTACCTACTTCTGGGAATTTAAGGGCCAGTAAATTGGTTTTATGCCATTTTCAAGTTATACACAGCTTTCCCACACACAGTACAAGAGTCATAGAAACCCATCACGTTTCTGCTAGTTCCTTACTGACACCTTCCAGGGGCAGTTCCAACGGAGCTTTCCCTGGAGCTGATCCAAGACAGTAGTTAACCAGATTTGCCCTCTGTTCAGAGCGCTGTGCCCCATTTTTCTGTTGAGCTTCACCCTGGCCTTTGGAAATGTCCCAGTCCGACTTCTGGATGGTTTTGCATTGTGAATGTGGTGTGAACGATCTCAGAATCAGGAGACAGAGCAAAGGCTGCACAGTTATCTGCTGGGAGAGCTCTTCAAATTACACTGAAATCATGCTGGAGAAAGAGAAACAAGACATCCAGCGCATCATTTTTTCCCAATGCAACCTACTAAAGAAGAAACTCCAGGCTACAAGTAGTAGGTGGTGGTTTCCAGCCCCAGGGTGGGAAGCTGCGAGTTCTCCTGGAACCCTCAGGACACTCAACCAGGAACAGGCCAAATCTTGAAGGACACTAGTGTCACCAACCCTCTCTATCTCATTCTTTTACTAAAAGATAAAATAAGAAAGCACAAACATGGACTTGGGTGGAACTGTTCAAACAGTGATAGGATTTCCCAGCAATATTGGTACAGAAATTGTCCAAGCAGATGCACCTTTATTACTTAAAGATGATGAAATAGCAGATCTCAGAGCACAGGCAATTGCTGTCAGGAGACTCAATGGGCTCTCTGTGCTGTTAGGGCTTTGGGCACGGGTTCTGCCACAAAGAGAAACTATTAGATTTCAAAAGCTGACAATGATGCCCCCTAGAAAACTATCCCTAAGTTTTATCTGTGCCTTTCAAAGTTTCAGATCATTTCCAGAGGAAATGGGGCTTCTGCCTCGTGCCCCATGTGCATAGTTCCTCTCCACCCCTCATAATAACTGCTGAAGCCATTGACTGCTTTCAGCCCTGCTTGTAATTGAGAGCAAAGCTCTCAGAAATATGAGGTCATGACAGGTTTTGCAAAATAATTAGCTGGACAGAGGAGTTAAACCCTGCTAATGCCCCCACAGAGGTAAAAAGCAGCAATGTAAGTGAAGCCCTTCTTAGATGTCAGGAAATCTACAGGCGAGAGGGAGGTTAAGGACATTCCAGGAGAGATTCAGAAGAAAGTTTGCATCTTGTTAAATGCCAGAAAATCCACTCCTTGCTCAAGGTTAACCTCCCATATTGAATTGCTGGTGCCCAAGAAAGCATATGCTCTAGCTCCAGCTTTTCTTGTGGTTGTGGAGTTCATAACGTCTCTGCCTTGTGGGTTCTCTGATGTCTTATAAGAGATGAGTTCACATTGCCATTTCAGTACAACTCAATTAAAAAGTCAATTACCCCAGATACAAAGCGATCACCTTCATTAATTCTGCTGTTCATGGAACTCCACTGGGTTTTTTTGCTGGTTTATTCTGCTGTCTTATTCTACTCTGAATTGTATGTGACTTTTCCTCCTCCACAGTCCTAATAGACACACGCGCATGCAGCATGCATACATCTTCTTTCCAGGTTTAGCAGTTGAAAATGTTGGAAGGGAGCAGCTCTAGGCAAGTCACTACACGCTGCAAAACTCTTAAGTGTTGTTAAGTAACAAGCAGAGCTTTTAAGAACATGGTTTTCAACTTCTCAGAAGGAACCACACGCTTTTCTGGATCACCTAGCCCTGTCCTCCAAGATTTTGTTTCATTTGCTGTGCACTTGCGAGTATGTTGCACTTCCTAGAAGTGAAATGATGTCATTAAAAAAATGCATCAAAATTTTGTCAAATCCAAATTGTGTTGAATTCTCTACAAATTCTGGTAGTTTCACTTCAGCTTCAGACCACTTGTTTCAAAAAGGAATGACCACAGTAGGGAGATTGCTGGATGGTTGGCATCTATTTACCAAGGAAAAAGGGATCTGAAGGAACTATGAAATTTAAAGTTTTGTATTTAACAGTAATTAGATATCTCAGTGAGAGAGTATGACACATATTGTTAGTTAGACTCTGATAATTTGTTTCTAACATTCAACTTGACTTATAAATTGAACTAGTTCTGGCTTTTAAAGAGATGAGTCTTGAAAAAGTGTCTGGAAAAACAAGTCTTCCCTGTTTAAATTAGGAATGTGCCAAATGACTGGCAGGTACTTAATATATAATTTAAATTTAAAAGAGGAAGAAACAGTTCTAGATAAAGATCTCCTGGGATATCTAGGGGAAATATATGCACCTATATTTAGCTTATCCCTGGTTTCAACCCCTAAATGCACACACAGGAGCACGCACTTAGTTTTTTGAAAGAACAGGCCTTGATCCTTTAACAAGCTCTGCAAAGCTCCCTAATAAAGTTACATCCTTGTTAATCACATATGTGTTCCCCAGTTCCTTCTTTGATACACCTTGTTCACAGAGATAAATCATGGAGCCGCAGAGGTTCAGGAGTTGTTAGAGAAGGAAGTTGATGGTGGGTGGTCATGGATGGCAGAACCTCCACAGGAATCCTGACCCTGGGGCTTTGTCATGAGAAGGGAGGAAGCAGAGAGACTACTCAAGGGCTGAAGGTGACATGGGCATAGTGTCTTGCTAGAAACCTTCTCTTTCAAGCAACACAGAGGAAGCAGCCAAGGTTAGACCTGCTAATTAGAATTTTGCAGTAACTGAGATACAACTCAACTAGGGCCTGAGCTAAAGCTGTCAAAAAGGCCAGGTAGAGCTGGGAGAAGGAATTTGCACAACACAGCAGGGCATCTCTGCTGGGGAACAAGAACAGACTGCTATAGCAGGGGGAGAGGAAAGGGAAGACAAGCCATGAGAAGAGACATCAAACCATAGTTCGTATATTGACTCTTGAAAATACTTTGCAAGAACTTGTGTAGAGAGAGAAATTAAGATGGAGGAGGATGGAAAAACAAAACAGAAGCGAGGTTTGGATTGAGGGTGGAGAGTTCAAACGTGCTGTTTGACTAGGGAGAAGGCAGAATCTTCAAGAGGGAGAGATCATTCACAGAATAGGAAGTCAGCCTGATAAGAGCATTTTGCATGACTTTTCACATTTTGCCCTCTACAAGGGAAAAAACTGAAGGAGAGAAAGTGAATGGATCTGAGTCAGCATGAGGATGTGGGAGGACAAGTCTCTCACTGGGGCAGAGGGAAGAAGAGCTGAGCTGACAACTGCATCAGCAAAGGTCGGGGTAGAGAGAGCAGGGAGGTGAGGCTGAGCCCATGGGGATGTTTTCTCTAACATACCGGCCTTAATAAAAATTACCAATGTTCTGCTTTTGACACCTGCAGGACCCAAGGAGACACCACAACATGGAAGTCACTATCAGGAGGCACTTCCTGAGTTTTGCTGTTTTCCTGATGCACTGTGTGGTCCACAAGGCAAGCTGTGAGAAGGGCAACACTTCCCCTCTGCACTTCACCCACTTCTTCTACAATGCCACCATCTATGAGAATTCAGCACCCAAGACCTATGTGGAGAGCTATGTCAAAATGGGTATTTACAAGACAGACCCTGAGTGGGACATCAGATACAGAATAGCCTCTGGAGATAACACTGGTGTCTTTAAAACAGAGGAGCATGTGATTGGGGATTTCTGCTTCTTGAGAATAAGAACCAGGAGCAGCAACACAGCACTTTTAAACCGGGAGGTCAAAGACAGTTATATGTTAATAATCAAGGCCACAGAAAGCACCTTTGCATACGAAGCCTGGGCCAAAGTCTTGATCCACATTCTGGACAGGAATGACTTGAAACCTCTCTTTTCACCCCCCTCCTACAAAGTGTCTATCAGAGAAGACACTCCTCTAAAAACAGTGGTCAGCACGCTCAGTGCCACTGACGCTGATGCCGGCCAGAATGCTGAGTTCTACTATGCCCTCAACACCAAGTCTGACCTATTCACCATCCACCCCACCACGGGAGCAGTTATGACCACAGGCAGGCTGAACAGCACCCATCGAGGCAGGCACCACCTGCAGGTTTTGGCTGTGGACAGAATGAGAAAGATCACGGAGGGGAATGGCTTTGGGAACTTGGCTAGTCTCATGATCCAAGTGGAGCCATCTGCCAGGAAAGCCCCCTCTATCTCCTCAGTGAAGGTGACATCACCTGACTCAGCCGAAGACTTTCTCTATGCAACTCTATCTGTAGAAGGTGGTGACTCAGAAGCAGGGATAGATTCAGTTGAGTTTGTGGATGGAGATCCGGGAAGACATTTCAAAGCCATCAAATCCTACTTTGGGAGCACTGAGTTCATGATCGTGTCAACCAAAGAGATCAACTGGCTACTTTACCCATTTGGTTTCAACCTTAGTCTGCAAGCCAAGGACAAGAGCAAACCACCATTGTTCTCTCCTGTTAGAGTTATCCATGTACCTCCCTCCAAATATGTCTCTGCCAGGTTTGAGAAAGAAGTGTACCGGGTCCAGCTCAGTGAATTTTCCCCAGTTGGAAGCCAAGTTGCTATGGTGAAGATCACACCAACCTTCCCAAATCTTAAATATATTTTGAGACCTACTCCTGACAGCACAAGCTTTAAAATCAATCCTCACACTGGACTGATAACTACAGTCAAAGCAATGGACTTCCATGAGCAGTCTCATTTTGAGCTTGAAGTTACAACTGTTAACAGTCAGACATCCACGACTGTTGCCATTGACATCACTGACTGCAACAATCACGCTCCAAGTTTTAGTCAGTCTTCATACCGCGGGGCCTTTGATGAAAATATTCCTCCTGGTACCAGTGTCTTGACAGTAAGGGCTACAGATGAAGATGAAGGAGACAATGGCTTTGTCACCTACTCCATAGCCAATCAGAAATCAGTTCCCTTTGTCATTGACCCCTATTCTGGCATCATTTCCACCTCCAAGTCAATGGACTATGAGTTGATGCAGAGACAGTATCATCTGCGAGTGTGGGCATCAGATTGGGGCTCACCCTTCCGCCATGAAACGGAGGTGTACGTCTCCCTCATGCTGAGCAACATCAATGACAATGCTCCCGTGTTTGAGAAGGCAAGTTGCAGTGGCACCATTCCACGAGACTTTCCTGTTGGGAACCCTGTGGCCACGGTCTCTGCAATCGACAGTGATGAGCTGCAGCATATCAAATATGAAATCAAGTCTGGCAATGAGTTACGGCATTTTGAACTGAATCCCATCTCTGGAGTAATATCCCTTAGAATATCTCTGCGAGATCTTCCTCCTGAACAGCCACTTTTCTACTCTTTGAAAATAACTGCAACAGATGGAGAGAACTATGCTTTGCCAACATCTGTAAATATCACTGTGGTCAGCCAAGGTCTCCCTGTCAAAATGCAGTGTGAGGAAACCGGAGTCTTGAAACAGCTGACAGAAACTATCATACACTCCATTGAGTCTCAGTCTCAAGGCCACGGGCAGGATGATGAAACATCTCTGAACTTGCACCTTATAAACCATAACGCTCCAAAGTTCGATGACAGCTTTCCACGATCTATTGATATCGTAGAGACTGTTCCCATCAACTCAACTATTGCCGACCTTTCAGCTATTGATCCTGATACTGGTTTTAATGGAAAATTGGTCTATGTGATCTCAGATGGAAATGATGACAGTTGCTTTACCATTGACTTGGAACTGGGTCTCCTTCAAGTCCTTTCTCCTCTAGATCATGAACGAACCAGCTTCTACATTCTTAACATTACTGTGTATGACCTTGGCACACCACAAAAGTCATCTTGGAAACTCTTGGCTGTGAATGTGTTGGATACCAATGACAACACTCCTAAATTCCCACAAGGTGCCTACTGGGTGGCAATACCAGAACATGTAGCAACAGGGACAACAATAGCTCAACTGAAAGCAGAAGATGCTGATACAGACGACAATGGGAGAGTAAAATATTCTCTCCTAACCCCGACTGACAAGTTTGCCATTAACAGTGTCACTGGAGAAGTGACAGTTACAGGTGCCCTGGATAGAGAATTGTGGCCTTGTTATGTGCTGAAAATAGAAGCTAGGGACCAACCCAAAACAGGCTACCAGCTGTTCTCCGTTATGGATCTTGTTGTGACTCTGGAGGATGTAAATGACAACACCCCACAATGCCTCCCAGCCCTCAACAATGTGAAGGTCCCAGAGGACCTGCCTGTGGGAACCATTCTCCTGTTTCTGGAGGCTTTTGACCCAGATGCTGGCTCTGGGGGTGAGGTGAGGTACAGTCTCATTAATGACGAGGAGATGATGTTTCATGTGGATAAGCTGACCGGGGCACTCCGGTTGGAGAAGGAGCTGGACTATGAGAAGAAGGACTCTTACAATCTAACCGTGCAGGTCAGTGATGGTGGGAAGCCCTTCTCTCGCTCTTCCCTCTGCCACCTGGAAGTGAACATCCTTGATGTCAACGAGAACTTGCACCCACCACGCTTTGCCTCCTTTGTCTTCAAAGGCTGGGTGCAGGAGAACAGCCCTGAGGGCACATCAGTGATGATGGTCACAGCAAAAGATATTGATAAGGGGAAAGATGGAGAGGTTCAATATTTCCTCCGAGAGGGCACTGGCTTGTCTGTCTTCCGCATTGAAAAGGACACAGGTAATGACAGTTTAATGGTGTACCTTAAAGTCTTAAACTATATGCTGTGTTTGGCCTGACTTTTTGACCCAATAGGACATTTCTCTCTATTTACAAAGTTCCAAGCATTCAAATCTTTCTTGCTTGTGCAGGGATGTACAAAGTGCATTCCTGTAACTGGGGAGGAGCAAGCAGGGTTTGTCTTCTTAAAATAACGGAAAAGAAATGTCTGTCCTCCCCCAAAATACCAAGGTCTTCCCTTTCACTTGTGTACTAAATTATCCTCAGCACAATCAAGCCCTCACCTTCCACACAACCTCACAGCCATACAAGGTTCATGCCAGAGTTTATATCTGCAGCAAAGGCCAGGAAGCAGACTAAAGACACAGACTGGTCTAGCATTAAGGACAAAGTGGTCTGAGTTCCTTAAATCCCTCACGAGCACTTTTTGTCATTCTTCTAGGCACCATCCGGACCATAGGAACACTTGACCGAGAAGGAACATCTCACTACTGGCTGACAGTGCTAGCTCTTGACCTGGGAACAATTCCTCTGTCTTCTGTGACAGAAATTTATATTGAAGTCACTGACACCAATGACAACCCACCTCAGATGTCCAGACCTGTCTTCTATGCCTCTGTGATGGAGAATTCCCCACCAAACACATCTGTCCTTCAGCTTGATGCCTTAGATCCAGACTCTAGCTCAGAGGGAAAACTGACTTTTCACATCCTAACTGGAAATCCTCAAGGACTCTTCACCATTAATGTCATTACAGGTAAGACTGACCCAACTCAGCATCTGGTTTTGAGGCTTCCAAGTGCCCAGAGGATGTTACATACTCAACGTAAACTGCCCACACAGCTGCCTTTGTCACAGCTTCCTTCTGCAGCAAAAGTCCCAGTCTCCAAATACACTGTGTGGGGAGGCTAAGGATTGAAACCCTCAACCTGAGGGCTGCTATTTGCATCCAGATGGCTCTTAGAATGACACAAATGTTCTACTTTCAAACAGAACCAAGCCATTGCTTTTAACCTTCCCCTTTATAAACAACTGCCCTATTGCACAGCCTGAGCCAGGAAACACCCTTCTGGAGGTGACTATCTGTTCTTGAGACAGACCAAGGCAGGATTAACAAAAATTAATCCTACTGCATTTAAAGGCTCCACCCATTCTCCAACGCTATTAATGTAGTAAGTGTAGTAAGCCTCTTCTGCCATCTTCCTAGACTGTATCTTTCATCTGAGGATTAATTACCAGATCTTTCAGAGCCATCAAAAACCCGCTGATGTTTTGTGTAAACAGCTTCCTCAAACTATCCCAGCAGAGCTGACACTGGGCCAGTCTGGCAAGGAAAGCTGTGCTGAGCCCTTCACTCCATCAGCTCCTGGGAGAAGGAAGGGAGGGCACAGAGCCTGAGCATGGGAGAGGATTAATTGCATGACTTTGATCTCCTGCGGATGATAAAAGCAGCTCACCTACTGCAGCAGGATAGAAGCCTGCTCTCAGATGAAAAAGGAGCTGGATGTATTGAAAAAGGCTAGCACAGCTCTCAATTACTTGTTACCTGTGGTGTAATGGCTCTCTGGCAGTCCTCTACAGCTGGCTAGGAGGGGGTGTGTTTAGAATGGAATTGTTACACTGGAACACTGAAATCCTTCTGGTTTCAAGAGATTCATAGTGTCTCTACTTGGCATCGTGTAGATACACTTGGAGATGTCAGCAAACTGACCACTGCTATCCCCAGTTGTAGCTATCTCCACTGTCAGAAGCTTTTAAGCCAGGTCAGGGCATTGCTCTGCATCCAGCTTTCCCACATAGTCTAAACAAGTATGCATGACTCAGCCCCAGCTTGCACAAATGGTGTGTCCCATGAAGAGGTGCCTTCAGAGGCTCCATTTAAGAAGACCACTGCCTTTTTGATGGGATGTGAACCCGAAACATCTATCAGGACACCAGGCTAGCTCCCCTCCTCTGCTAAGTTCCAGCTTGCACCCATGCACCCTGCAGGAAATTCAGCCTTCTCTATGCTGCAGGTAAAACTTTCACCCCAGTGCGAGTGCAGCCCTGCAAAGCCATGCTCCAAGGCTGTCCTGTTTTATGTAAAACAAATGACACCGGCAAAATCTGAGTATTTTCTAAAGAGACACCTCAGGCATAAGCCAGCCCTTTACTCCCCATCTTAGACAAAAAAAAGCTCTTTCAGCTATGAGTCATCTCCTATCCATCTCTCTCTACAGTCAGGTAATTTGCATGTGGAGGGTGATAAGTTTGTCAGTCCTGCAAGAAATTCATGAGCTGATGTTATCTCTTGGACAGTTGCTGGAGGTCTCTTCTTTAAACTCTGAGCTTGGAGGTTGTTTAAAGACCTGCTTCCAAGCTGGATGAGGATTCAGTTATCCATTGTTTCACTTGCATGTCACCCAAACATTGACATAAATTGAGCAGTTTGTATCCTCATGCTTACAGTATCTAAAGAGAAGTTATCTGCTACTACTGCCAGAAAGAATATCACAGCTTGTCTAAATTTCAGGGCTGTAGGCATCTTACTGCAAACCTGGTGACACTTTAATTCTGCAGACAAGGGCATGCTAGTTGCTCCATTAAGCA